CAGGCCAAGGGGGTGGGCTGAAGCCCGCGGGGGGTCTTAGGACTCCAGAGTGCTCTGAGGGACTGGGAAGGGTTGGCGTGGCTGTCACTGAGGTGGGCAAATCCATTTTAAGGACCCCTTTAGGAAAAATAATATGAAACTCTTCTGAAAAGGGATATTTATTTGGAATGAGAAAGGAAAGCACAATTAATTATCGGAGACTCAGAGATTTGAGTCCGTCCTCCTGACATCTCTCTGGGAAGTTTGCCAGGAATGTTTCAAGGAGCTGCTTCCCGAGCAGAACTCGGCCTCCCTCCCTGCCTACAGCACTCCATAGCTCCCAGCAGCCCCCAGTCCTCACAGGAGCCAGGACAGCCTGAGCCTGGGTCTCATTAGCTTCTCAGTCAGGTCACCCTGGGGTAAGAGAGAAGTGAGAGGGCAACGGGCACCCCCAGGGGCCAGCCCGTCCTACTTTTGGAAGGAGGGGTCTCAGGGACGGGGGGTGGGGGTGGATATTACTGGGAGCAGAGGTTCCCAAGAGGATGGGGCTCCAGGAGGAGGCGGCTGGGATTGGAACAGGGTCTCTGCCGAGGCAAATAACTGAGAACTGGGGTCTCTAGGACCCTCCCATGCGGCTGACACCAGAATTCTTTGCTCTCTGCAGCAGAGGGGCTCTGGCCCACGGGCCCACGTCAGGGAAGCCCCCCAGTCCTGAGCCTCAGGGAGCCTCCTGGCCCTCCAGCACTGTCACCCTCTCTGGAGCCTGTCCTGGCTCTGGACAGAGGCCATGGGAACCCCAGCTCCCAGAGCTGGCTCAGCCCCCAGCCCGGAGGGGATTAAGGCCCAGACACTGGTCACCGCCAGGTCTGGGGAAGCCGGGCCCTGCTGGGTGGGGCAGGGGGACACAGGCCTGGGGCCTGGGGTGGGGGGGCCAGGTCACACCCCCCGGGCTTTAGAACACTTCCCTACAAACTTGGCCCAGTAGGTAAAGAAAGAGGCCTGGACTTGGACAAAGCACACTCACTCACTAGTGGACGTGGCCTTGAGCGGGTCACTCTGTGCCCCGGGTCCCCCTTGGCTGAGATACTGGAGAAGATGAGGAGGTAGGATACTAGGCCTGGACCCTGACCAGGGCCTCTAGAGCCCACAGTGGACACAACTCGGCTTCGGCACGCCCTTCTGAGGGGAAGGGCCAGGGAGCACTTTGAGGAAGGAGACCCTGCCCAGGCGGGAGGCACAGGCAGGGGCCACGTCAGAGGGGACGGGGAGGAAGAGGCCAGACCTCCCCTCTCCCGCCTCCCCCAGGCTTCTCCCCGGGGGACAGCTGAGTCCCTGGCAGCTCATGGGCCAACTCCCCGTCAGGAATTGCTTTTATTCCTTTTCTTTTTTGCACTGGGAAGGGATCCAGGGGCGCTCCCCACGAGCCACGTCCCCAGCCCTTTTTATTTTTTGTTTGAAGACGGGGTCTCACTAAATCGCCGAGGCTGGTCTTGAACTTGCCCTCCTCCTGCCTCAGCCTGGCCACCCTGGAGGAGCGTTCTCCTGGCGGGAGGASCCGGCCTCCTCCACGGCCTCCCAGGGAGCGGGATGCTGGTCTGCCTCCCCAGGACAAAGCCGAGGTTGAGGCGGAGCAGGAGCAAGCGACTTCCTCAAGGTCGTGGGTCACAGGAGATGGGGGACTGCAGCTCCAACCCTCGGTTCCTGTGTCCCGATGAAAAAAACCCTCAGAGTCAGACGCAAAAAGCCAAGAGAGAGAATTTATTCTGAGTGAAAGGTGAAGGAGGCCGCAAGCCAAGAGCTTGAGAGAGGGACTGAGCAGGTCACCTCCAAGCAGAGACGAGCGGGAAACAGCGCTGCGTCCCCGTTTGCTGCTGGTGACCTGGCCAGGAGAGCCGGGCGCCCTCTGCCAGCCTCCTGAGTCACTAGTTTATCCCCTCCTTCAAGTCGGGCAGGGGGCTTTGACCCGAGCTGGTCCTCGTCACCACCATCAAGGTGACCATCCCGTGGGGTGGGGGCTCCCTSCACAAGTCAGTCCCACGCCAGCCTGGGCTGCTGCAGGACGGTCTCTCCCGAAATACACTGAGGAGCCCACGGCCCTCGATCCTGGCCGTGGGACGACCTCAGGGGACCCTGCCAGGGCTGACCCATGGCCCTTTCTTTGTCTTTCTCCCTTTGTTTCCACCTGTTTGTTCTCAGGGTCAGGACTCTGGGGTTCACTAAAGGCAAATCGMGAGGCAGCGGCCTTGGGATGCAGCCGTGGGAGGTACAGAATCCCCAAGCCCTCTAGAACCTTCAGTAGAGTCTTAAAAGTGGTGATGAGCTGGGCACGATGGCACACACCTGTAATCTCCGCATGCAGGGAGGCCGAGGCAGGAGGATCCTGAGTTCAAAACCAGCCTCAACAACGGTGGGGGAACTAAGCAACTCAGTGAGACCCTGTCTCTCAATAAAATACAAAATAGGGCTGGGGATGGGGCTCAGAGGTTGAGCGCCCCTGAATTCAATCCCTGGTACCCACCCCACCTCCCCCCAAAAGCGATGATAGTGCAGAGTTTGAGCCTGGCGCAGTGGCACACACACAGAGTCCCTGCGACTTGGGAGGCTGAGGCAGGAGGATTGCAAGTTCGAGGCCACCCTCAACAGCTGAGTGAGGCCCTGTCTCACAATAAAAAAACAAAAAGGCCTAAGGATGGAGCTCAGTGGTCCAGCACCCTGGTTCCGTCTCCAGGCCTGGAAAAAAAGAATCCTCACAAGGAGGCCACGAGGCGCTGCTGGCCCTGGGCTGTGGGGGAAAGGGAGCTCAGAGAAAACGGCAGGAGTGGACTCCCTCAGATCCTGACGGGTGCTCTGGTGCTCGGGGCCACCCTGTGGGAACTCCCGCTGTCCTGTCCTGCCGCAGCCCTGCCCAGCACAGGGCTCTGCCCACAGGGGTGCTCAGGACTGCCCTGAGGCCTAGCAGGCAGGCTGCAGGCCGGAGGCCACAGGGGTGCTGGAGCCCACCCTGCCACACTCTCCACCCCCTGCACTTCCCGCAACAGCCTGGGCTGGCGGCTCCCTCTGATGGCAGAGAAGCCTGCCCAAGGCAGAGTGGAGGCTTCCAGGGGTCTCCTGCCCTGGGTGGGGGGGCGGTGAACTAAAGCTCCAGACACAGGCTAGAGCGACGCGGGAATCCTCAACGCTGTGGGCCAGACCCGGGTGTCCCCTTTCCTCCCTGTGTTCCCACCTTTCTGTAAAGGGAAGCCTGCACCCACCGCSCGCTGCCCAGGTCACAGGTAGGAAACGCCTCTCCAGGGAGGGACAGAACGTCCAAGGTCACAGTCAGCACCAGAGCTGTTCAGCCAGGTCGGACCTCAAAGCTCTTGTCCTCCCCCCCTCCCTGGCTCCCACCCATCGCAGGTTAAGTGCCACCTCCTCAGAGAGACCCTCGCCCCACGCCGCCCATTTTTCTGTCTCAGTCCCTTCCTTCATGGCACAGATTAATCGGCAATTGTGATATTAATTCCCTTTATAGCCGCCATCTCCCCTGCTCCCTCTAAGTTCTGTGGCGACAGGACTGATGGCATCTGGATTGGTTCCGCTGGCTCCTGACTCATCTCCCCCATGCAGGGAGTGCCTAGCCAGTGTCCATGGTCAAGCCCTCCACTGTGGGGCCCAACGCCCCACAGCCCGGATGGTAGCAAACCTCGCTGCTGCCCTGGACCTTGTCCCTCAGCCTCYCTCCCACCCGCTTCCTGCCACCCAGGGTCTCAACACTAGTGGAAGACCGAGGCCCTGGCCTGCTGGGGCATCTGGGTTGGCAGAAGGCTGGTCAGATCCCGGCYGGGAGGGAGGAGGGAGAGGGTTCTCGGAGCTGGCAGACAAAGGGCGTGTTTTCTGCCCAGCCACTTCCTGGGTTTCCATTGCAGGAAGTCTGGCACCTGCCTATCGGGGACACTGATCCTGGGGCTGGTGTGGGAGCCTCAGTTGGGCGGTCCCCCGTATCTGGAGCAGCAGCTGAGGGAGGTGGCCAGGGGTGCTGGGCAGCTGGTGAGCAGCGCAGCTGCGTCCCACACTCCCCTCAGTGGTCTAGAGGGGACACGGGGGACACCCTAGACTGAGTCACTGTGGCCTTACRCAAGCCCCCGAGTCAATCCTTCAGGGCCTCATTGTCCCATTTGGCAGTGCCGGTGAGGTAGCTTTAGGGAATGCCACCTCCCCTGTGACCTGACTGAAACCGGCCTCGGGGTCACCCAGCGCTTGAGGAAGGGGTTCTGCACAGAAGTGTCTGAAGCCCTGGGTGCTGCCCCCCAGCCCTGCCTGCAGCGGCTCCTCCTTCCTTCAGCCGAGGAGGCCGGGTCTCCTAACAGTGCTACAGAGTGGCCGCCCTGCCAGGCCCGAAGGAGCCACAGGCCACAGGTGGCCTCACCTGCAGTGGGTAGCTCTCATCACCTCGCGCACCCCAGAACCCGCGGAGCAGCGTGCCTAGGGGCACCCACGGCTCTGTTTGAATCCAGCTCTGCTTGGCCTTGAGCCTCTGGGGCGTCAGTCCTGCAGGAATCCTCAGCAGCCAGGGCTGGGGGGGTTGAAATGAGAGCCCTGTCCCTGGGCACACGGGACCTCTGTAAACGGCAGCTACTGTTGGTCGCGGCCTTTGTTGTTGCAGAGGCTGTGAGGATCGAATGGGAAAGGGTGACAGGGGCGGCTCCCGGGGGTGAGGGCTCGGGGAGGAAGGAAACTGGTACCCAGGCAAACCCCTCCTGAATTCCATCATGTGAGCCCCTCAGTGGTAGCCCCAGCTGTGGGGCGCAGAAGAGAGCCAGAACCTGCCTGGACACCCCAGATGGCACTGGGTCCGGCCCTCCCCTGGCCTCCACCACTGTGGGTTTTAATCAAGAGAACAATCTGTTTGTCTCTGAATCAGACTCGGATTCCTTTTCCCAGCAATGTTCTCTGGCCTCCAGGGACCAGAGGCCCATCCCCGCCCCACGGGGCCCCAGAGCCTAGGCTGCTCCCCCCCCCACCTCATTCTATCTGCTCTGCCTGGCGGGTGGGACCTGGAAGGTGCAGGGAGGGGTCAGTGGCCTGGTGCAGGGTAGCAAACCAGGTAAGCTGATTGCCAGCTGGGCCCTGCCTCTCCCACCTATCCACCCCACCCCTCCAGGACCCTGGGACCCACCCGAAGGGGGATTAAGGGATCCAGACCAGCAGTGACAGCTGGAGACAGCAAACCAGACAGCTCCACTGGAGACTCAGAGCCCCCTCCTCCCCAAGGCATTTCCTGAAAAAAGTCCCAAACCCAGCATATATTGAGCACTGAATGTGTGCTCCTCACTGGCTTTGAGCCTTTTATCCCTAGGCCTTGCCGCAGGGATAGGCAGAGGGACATTCCCGTGAAGACACTGAGGCTCAGCGAGATGGCCTGCCGCCCAGGGATGTTTAGGGAATGGGTCAGTAACTTAAGTCTGACTCTTAAGTCCCTGGCTGAGCACCATCCCCCAGCAGACCGGGCAGGTGGGGTGGTCAACCAGGGTGACCCTGGGGAGGGGGAGAATAAGGACCACTCAGGGTGCACAAAGGGGGGGGACGGGGGAGGACGCCACCCCCGGGCCTGGGCTCAGGGGACGGGGAGGAGTGGTCGCGGGAACAAAGGGAGGGGGAGGGGGCGGCCGGGGCGCGGCCGAGCAGGTGGGGGGGCAGGTAGGGGCCGCTTCCGCGGGGCGGGGACCGGCCCCCTCCCCCGAGCGTCACCTTTTATGGTAGCGGCGCGGGGCAGCGGGGCGGAGGGAGCGAGGGCGGGAGCGCGGCGGGAGGCGCCGGGCGCTGGGCGTCGGGCTGGAGCCGCCGGCGCGGGCGCAGGTAAGCGGCTGGGCAGGGCGGGGGGTCCCGTCCCCGTGTCGCGTCCCGGCTGCACTCGGGTGACAGCGCGGGCAGCCGGGCCGGAGCCCACCCCGCGCCCCGGACCCCGGGCGGGGCGCTCCGAGAGGAGGGACGGGGAGGTGCTGTCCTGTCCTTCTGTCCTTCCGTCTCCGTCTGTGTCCTCCGAGGGGGGGGAGGGACGGCGGGGGTCGGGTCCCTGCCCCGGAGCGCGGCGCCAGGGACCGGGCGCGCAGGGCGGAAGCTCCCGCACAAAGAGGGCAGCGTCCCGCACATGGATCGAATTAAAGTCCCCGGCGGCGCCCCAGGGTGACCCGGCCAGCCGCCCTGCTCCCCGCCCGAGGGAGGGGGCCAGGTTTCTGGAGCTCCCGGAGCTCGGGGTGCCTTTCCCAGACGGGGTCCCTGCGGAGGGAGCGGCCCAGGGCTGCCCCTCTCGAGGCCTCAGATGCCCGTCCGGCTGGGAAGGCTGGGACGGTCCCCAAGGTGTGTGCCTGGGGCGATCTTGGCGTGGGGCCCCTCCAGCCCAGATCTCAGAATCCCCGGAAGAGGCTGGGCAGCTCCCGGATTCCTGCTCCTAATAATGGGAAAGCTGTCCTCGGGCGCCTCCTCCCTCCTCCCGGGCGGGTGACCCGTGGTCTTTCTCGGGGCACCTCTCAAGTGCCCAGATCCCTGCGCTCACTCTCCTCGTGTCCTCTCAGCCACCCTTCAGGACAGGCTCAGATTCTCACTTTTTAAATAAAACCAGGCCCAAAGAGGTGGGGTGACGGCTCAGGGTCACCCGTCGGGAAAGAGGTGGGGCGCAGCCAACGCAGCTCGGTGCTCCTCCCGGGGGTGGGGGAGGCGGAGGAGGAGGAGGAGGAGGAGGAGGAGGGAATCCTTCGCCAGCTGCAGGGCCGTGGAGCGGGGTGGGGAGCATCTCCCCACTTCAGCAAAGTTCCCTCTGGATCCGACATGGCCTGCTTTATCAAGGTATTAAAGAACAAAGCTCAGAGGTGGTTTGGAGGGGAATTAGGGGTAGGAAGGGGGCCGGCGGGGGCGGGGCGGCCCCCATCAGTCAGCTCTTGCCCGCCCCCGGGCCCAAGCCTGCAGCCGCCCGGKGGCTGGCTGGTCTCAGCCTCCTTCCTTCCTCTTGACAGGAAATGGCTTTCCTTCCCTTTGTTCCCACTTTCTCTGCGTTCCCAGCTGACGCTCTGATTCGCCCTTTGCGGGGAAGCAGGGTGGGGCGAGGGTTCCCTGAGCCCTTCCCGGGTGACCTGGGTGCAGGACACCAGGGGCAGGCCCAGGCCCCCTTTCTCGGATGGGACTTGACAGCTCTTTTAAAGTCCTCAGCTCAGCTCCTTCCCATGGGACCTGATGTCCCTSCAGGGGACCTTTGGGAGGGTTGGGGGGTGCACAGCTGTGAACATCTGGCCTCAGCCCTGGACSTTTTCCCAGAAAGCCAGGAGATCTCATTTCCCGGAGGAATGGAGGAGGGGTCAGAGCTGTGGAGGGGGGTGGAGGCTGTGTCCTGAAGGTCCCAAGCAGTCTCTGGGGACCAGTCTAGAGTGTGCTGACCACAAGCTACCCAGTCTGGATAGGGCCATCTGGGTTGARAACAGGCCTGTGAATTTGGGCCGGCGGCCACCTCAGGTCCTAGGACACCCCTGGACTTCCAGGCTGGACCCTGCTGTGTTAGAATTCCTGCCTGCTCTGGCCCCCCTGTGACATTCACTTGAACTACTGGGGCTTCATGGGGCCCATCTGAGAATTGGGGGCATAATGGACCTTTCTTCCAACTGCCTWGAGAACCAGGTGAGTTTGAGTCACGCAGCACGCTTAGCACAGTGGTTGGCACTCAGTAGGTGCCGTGTTTATTCTTTAAATTTCAGATGCACTCTGAAAACCAAGTAGAAAACTAGATTTTTTCTTTTCAGTACTGCATATTGAATCTAGGGACATTCTACCACTGAGCTACACCCCTAGAAGTTTTTATTTTTATTTATTTATTTTTAGTTGTTAATGGACCTTTTTAATTTATGTATTTATATGTGGTGCTGAGAATCGAACCCAGTGCCTCACACATGCTCAGCAAGCGATCTCTACTGAGCTACAACCCCAAYCCCATTTTTATTTTATTTTTTAATTAATTAATTTTATAGTAGAATGCCTTTTGACATATAGTACACAAATGGAGCACAACTTCTCATTCCTCTGGCTGTACATGGTTCAGAGTCACTCCACCAGGATAACGAACAATTTACTTTTTTTTTTTTTTTTAAGAGAGAGTGAGAGAGAGAGAAAGAGAGAGAGAGAATTTTTTAATCTTTATTTTTTAGTTTTCGGCRGGCACAACATCTTTGTTGGTATGTGGTGCTGAGGATCGAACCCGGGCCGCACGCATGCCAGGCGAGCGCGCTACCACTTGAGCCACATCCCCAGCCCCCTACTTTTATTTTCAAACWGGGTCTCACTATGTTGCTGAGACTGACCTCCAACTTATGATCCTCCTGCTTCAGCCTCCTGAGTCACTGGGATTGCAGGCATGTGCTGTAGTCCTGGGTAAAAAGAGATTCTTAAATTCATAACAAAGCATAAAACCAAAGACTAAGGCAGCCTCTATAAGCATACATACTTCCTAAATCACCTCCAAAACAAGAAACAAAAGGGAGGCACTTTTAAATAACTTTCAAAGTTCTTTCCTATTATATGGATTGCTTATTCAGGGCAGATTATTATTTTACGTATTTATTTTGGTAACCAGTATTGAACCCAGGGGCGCTTAACCACTGAGCCACATCCCCAGCCCTTTTTATTTTTTTTTTTATTTTGAGACAGGGTCTTGCTAAGTTGCTTAGAGCCTCAGCAACTGGCTTTGAACTTGTGGTCCTCCTGCCTCAGCCTCCCGAGTTGCTGGGATTACAGGCGCGCACCACCACACCTGACTGCAGACAGATATTTCCTTATCAGACGAAGCATCTTTATTTTTAGCCAAACATAAACCAGGAACCTGGGGGCAGATGCTGCCCTTGTTATTCTCCGTCGGCCACAGAGAGAGCCCGTGGTGCGCTTGACACAGAGGAGGGCTGTGAGGGGCCGCTCAGCCTCCCGTCCACCGTCAGYGTCCCTCAGGCTCTGCCCCCCTGCCTGCCCAGCCCACTTCTCAGGGCTCCCGTTCTGTTTTCTCTCCCCCCGTGTACCAAGGCTGGACTTCAGGGTCATCCAAGGTGGCCCAGACAGAACTAGAGAGATAAAGGGGACATTTTTAGCCCTGGCAGCACTGCTGGGTGAGGGCCATCAACTGTCCCCGCCGTGGCCCCACCTCAGCCTGGGCACCAGAGGCTGCTGTCYGCAGGACCCGCCTGGGCGACCCGCCTTCCCCTGAGGCCGGGTGCTGTCCCCTYCCAGGTCTGTGCTGTAGACCAGCTGTGCTCGGGCACCGTGCAGGCAGCAGAAGGCAGGTGGCGCCGCATGGGGGGGTCAGACACATTGATGGGGAGCTGGCAGTGTGTCCTGTGGGGAGCCATCACGGTCCTGAGAAAGCAGACAGCTGCCCCCGCTGAGGCTGGACTCTAGGGAGGCTCGTGGAGGACACGTGGCCGGAGCTGGCCTCTAAGGGAAAGCGGAAATTCACCCCGGGATGGGGGCGGTGCCGGAGAGGAAAAGCCAATGGTGARCCCTCCAAGGCGGGTGGGAGAGAAAGACCTAGAGCGGTGGGTTCAAATCAGACGAAGGATCAGGTGAGGAGGTGGGACTGGAGGCCACCCAGCTCTTTCGCCCCACACTGCTGGGGCCTGTACAGAGGCCATGGTTTTGGAGATGGGGCAGGAAGAGATTTGGGTGATAGAAGGCAGGGAGGAAAGGACTCTGGCTTGTGGGTGGAGCAGAACAGAGTGGCCAAGTGATGGGCTTGAGGTTCAAATGCTGTCCCTACTGCTGTGTGACCCTGGATGAGTGACTTGACTTCTCTGAATTTCTTCACTTGTGGAGATGGGGTAATAATGGTGCCTGCCTCTCTGAGGATTTCTGAATTCATAAGCATCAAGTGCTCAGGGCAACGTGAGCACAGAGCAGGTCTTGGTAAAAGGTGTCTTTGATTTGTCCTTCTGCCCCCTCTGTCTCTGGGATCCCCGAGCTGCTGTCTGAACTTCTGTTCCTGTTCTCTGTCCCCACAGGGCAGCTGGCCTGACAGCCTCTGAGGAATTAGGCTCTCCCAGGAGAACTGGGGTCCAGGTAGGTGAGGGAGGTGACTTGGGATGCGGCCCTGTGGGCAGGTGCCGTAGCCACTGTGGAGCGCCCGGGGCTGCCCTTTGCTCCCCAGGTGTGCAGGCTTTGGGGGAGGGGCAGTCCAGGCTTTGGGTCCCACCCTGTGGCCAAGTCACCTGGTGGACTCCCGCCCTGCCCCCTCTGTGGCTGGACTGGGTGGGTCACCAGCATGGCGGGCAATGTCCCCTTGTGTTGGGAGGAGGGAGACTCCGTGCCCCTGACTTCTCTTTGACGTGTGTGTGTGTGTGTGTGTGTGTGTGTGTGTGTGTGTGTGTGTCCGGCCACAGCCTGAGCCGCCCTCTGTCCCCAGCGCCAGCAGGAGCTGAAGCAATGGCCTCCCAGCCCGAGAAGAGGGTGGCCTCGTCCGTGTTCATCACCCTGGCGCCCCCGCGCCGCGACGTGGCTGTGACTGAGGGAGTGAGGCAGGCGGCCTGTGAGGCCAGGCGTGGCCGCCCCTGGGAGTCCCCCACCTCCGSGAAGCCCGCGGGGGCTGGCTCCATGGGGAAGCCCAGCCCCTGGGTGCCCTCCGGCAGGGCTGCAGCCCCTGTGCCAACTGTACCACCTCAGCTCTCCAACGGAGGTAAGAGGGTGACTTCAGGGGGACCAGGGCAGAGGCAGCACCAGGTGGGGAGGAAGGAGAGGCTCCGAGTCACTCACTGAGTGACCACCAGGCAGAGTCTGGAACCTGGGGTGAATCCTGGCGCCATTTCTCAACTGTGTGATGTTGACAAGCTGCTTCACCCTCTCTGTGCCTCGGGTTCTAGTCTGTAAAAAAGGCCACATTGGCGCACGCCTGTCATCCCAGCAGCTCAGGAGGCCGAGGCAGGAGGATCGGGAGTCCAAAGCCAGCCTCAGCCACAGCAAGGCACTAAGCCACTCAGTGAGGCCCTGTCTCTAAATAAGATACAAAATAGGGCTGGGGATGGGGCTGAATGGTTAAGCRCCCCTGGGTTCAATGCCTGGTACCAAAAGAAAAGGAGAAAAAGGTGACAGGAGGCTGTAGTCCTCTGTCCCTGTCGCTGTCACGGAGATTGTCAGCTGTTGGGTTGATAGAAGTGAGGAGGGTGATTCCAGGGCCTCSGGCAGGGCATTGCTCGCTGTCCTACAGGGCACTGCAGAGGAGGCCAGCCAAAGATGGCAGCCCAGTCCCTGGAGCCCCCAGGTGCCTGGTCAGGTGTCCTGCTGCCCGAGAGCAACACTGGGACAGCCCTTCACCCATCACCATGGAAACCAGGGGGCAAGACCGATAGCAAGTTCCAGTTACAGTGGTCACAAGTGCCACACACGGGCTCAGGGACAGTGTGCAGGGATGTTCTTGTGACACGCTCCCTGTGTGCCTCTTGACCACACATCCCACGGGCACAGCCTGCTCCCTCTAGAGACCAGGACCACACTGACCCCACTTCACCGTCAGGACACGCGATCCAATGGGGCAAAATCCCGCAGCCCCTCTGAGTGGGTGAGGCGCTCGGGAAATACAGTTGAGGTGCCCGATGGCCCTGGCCACAGTCGGGGGGTTGTTGGAGTTACAGGCAGGAGACCCCAACAGCAGACTGTTGGGAGGGGGTGGCCTGATGGTCACCGGTCAGTGTGGCTGGTGGCCATTTGCCAACTTGGGACCCTCAAGCAGAGCATGGGGAATCTTGAAGGAAAATTCCAGATGAGCAGCTCAGTCCTGAGTCTGGGGTGCCCACACCTCAGGGTGCTGGGGACAAGGCCATCTCTGCAGCCGCCTGCCATCTGCTGCTTCCTGCTGCCCTCTCACCCGCACGCCCACCATCTACTAGGTGCACGTTCCCCAGACGCACTGCCTGGTTCTCACACCTGAGGTGCTTTTCCCCTCTTGGCTTCTCTTAAAACCTGCTCTCCYTCCTCCTGCCCTGGGCCCCTGGACAGGCTCACCTTCCTAGCCACCTGGGGCCCCAAGTTCCTGCCCCCCCTCCTCAGCTGGTGTCCTGGAAACCCGAGGCAGGGCCTGGGAGAGGCCACCGCCGCTCTTTGCTGCCTCGGAGCTCTGAGTCCTGACTCATGAGCTCATCCGGAGCCGATTCCCACACTCCATCATCCCTGTCACCCGGGGCTTGTTCCAACACAGCTGGGCCCGCCCAGGGTGCTTCTGACCCAGCTGGGCTGCCTGGGGACGGATTTGCATTTCTTGTACCTTCCTGGGTCAAGCTGATGCTCTGGTCTGGGGACCACACTTGGTGAATTTGACACGGGGGTCTTATTGTGTTGCCCAGGTTGGTCTCAAACCCCTGAGCTCAACCCAGTACCTGAGCCACATCCCCAGCCCTTTTTATGTTTTATTTTGAGACAGGGTCTTCCTGAGTTGTTCAGGGCCTTGCTAAGTTACCGAGGCTGGCTTTGAACTCGCAATCCTCCTTCCTCAGCCTCCAGAGTCTCCGGGATTATAGGTGTGCACTGCAAGGCCCGGCACAACATTTAAAAAAAATTGGAACAATAATTGTACATATTCATGGGATTCGGTGTCACACGTGAACAAACCTACAGTGTGGTCAGGACAATGACATGTCCATACCCTCACTCATGTACCGTCTCTTTGTGCTGGAAATRTTCAGAACCCTCTCTGCTAGCTATTTGGGGATGTAGGATCCTTGTCAACCGTAGTCCCCTGTGCCTTAGAGTATTAGAAGTGTTTCTCCCGTCCCACCCCCRGGAACTCCTTGACCCTGGGTGTCCCGCGTTTGGATGAATGGATGTGGGACTGTTGTTCCGGTCCCAGGAGGTCAAGGAGGTGTGACCTCTGGGCTAGAACAGTGGTTCTCCACGTGTGGCCCTGGCACCAGCCCTGTCTTCACCAGGGAACTTACCAGAAATGCAAATTCCTGCAGCCTGCCCCAACCCTGCTGAGTCAGGAACAGGGTGGGGAAGCCGTCTGTGTTTGGACAAGCCCCCAGGTGCTCCCAGTGCACGCCCAGGTGTGCAGCACGCCCTTCCCCTCCGCACAGTGCCTTCAGCCCCGGGAAGCCGTGTTAATCTCTTTATCCAAAGACCGGGGTGTCCAGGGAATTGGCTAGGAACGGAGCGAGGCCTGGGTCTTCAGGCTCCTGGGCTTCTGGAATTTTCCATTGGCTTTCCATGGGCATCTCGAGTAGGCTGAGCTCACAAGACCCTGGTCTAACTTGTGCGACCCCCAGCCGCCTTCTGGCCTCTGTTGGTGGCATTACATGGTAGTGAGCATGATCGTCACTACAGGAGAAAGGAGGGGCTGGGGAGCCCCTCATACCCCACCTCGGGAGCACACGGAGGTCTGTGTCCACTGACCAGACTCAGGATCGAGTCCACTCCCCGGGGCCCACTCTGTCTCCTGCCTTCGTCAGCCTGGGTCTCAGGAGCAGCTATGCTAATAACAGAAATGACTTTGTGCCCGCGTGTGTGTGCGCGCGGCGTGTGTGTGTGTGTGTGTGTGTGTGTGTGTGTGTGTGTGTGTGTGTTCAGACGTTCATGATAGTGGGGCCAACAGCACCTGCAGCCCGAGTCCCCACATCAGTTCAGTGGTCACCAAGATCTGGCCACACTTGTTTATTCCTGTTCTCTTCTTCTTTTTCCTTTTTGTGGAGTATTTTATTTTCTTGGTTTACCTTCCTCTGGGGATCAAACCCAGGGCCTCTCGCCTGCTGAGCACGCCCCTGCAGAATATTTTAAAAGACACCCCCATAATTGTGGCATCTCATGCATTTGGCAGAGTGCGTCTCTAAATGTAGCCGTGTTCCTACATGGCCACCGTGCAGACACCACCTAATCAATTTAAGGGAATGCCTCAGGATGGTCTAATACTCTGTTTATAACTAAATTCCTCTGATTGTCATGAAAATGCCTTTTTTGCTGTAGCAGGACAGATGGATTATGCAATGTGTATTCTTTTTTTTTTTTTTTTGAGGGGGGGTTATCAGGGATTGAACTCAGGGGTGCTTAACCACTGAACCACATCCCCAGCCCTTTTTATTTTTATTTAGAGACAGGGTCTCCCTAAATTGCTTAGGGCCTCACTAAATTACAGAGGCTGGCTTTGAACTCATGATCCTCCTGCCTCAGCCTCCTGAGCCGCTGCGATTACAGGCATAAACCACACGCCCGACTCTCATCTCTCTTTGGAGCTGTATAATTCAGTGGACTATGTAGCTTCTGCTTGTCTAGAAAATGAGAATTAAATGAGGTGACTAATTCTTTCATTCAGGATCCATATAAGGTCTGTGCCAGTGCTGTCCAACTAAAACAGGTCAGGGACTGGGGCTGGGGCTCAGCCGTAGAGCGCTCACCTAGCACGTTCGAGGCCCTGGGTTCGATCCTCAGCACCACGTGAAAATGAATAAAATAAAGGTATTGTGTCCATCTACAACTAAAAAAAAAAAAAAAAAATTGGGCTGGTATGTTGTGGCTCAGCAGTAAAGCACTTGCCTAGAATCAGTGTCAGGCCCTGGATTCGATTCCCAGCACYGCACAAAAGTAAATAAATGAATAAAGGCCTACCAACAACTAAAAGTGTATTTTAAAAAACTTAGTATCTAAAATAAATAAATATTTTTTAAAAATGTTTTAGTTGTAGATAGACACAATATCTTTATTCATTTTTATGTGGTGCAGAGGATCGGACCCAGAGCCTCACATGTGGAAGGCAAGTGCTCTACCACTGAGCTACAGCCCCAGCCCAAATAAATATTTTTTAAAAATGTTTTAGTTGTAGATAGACACAATATCTTTATTCATTTTTATGTGGTGCAGAGGATCGGACCCAGAGCCTCACATGTGGAAGGCAAGTGCTCTACCACTGAGCTACAGCCCCAGCCCAAATAAATATTTTTTAAAAAAAAACAGAAGTCAAGTCCCAATTGCCAGCCAGCCCCATGTATGTAATTTGAAATGTTCTAATATGTCCACATTGAAAAAAAGCTACAAGAAATAAGCAGTGTTAGTTTTAATCATGGGTTATGGAATCCAACATTAAAATATTATTTCAGCATGAAATCATTATAAAAAAAAAATCATGGGGCTGGGGATGTGGCTCAAGCGGTAGCGCGCTCGCCTGGCATGCGTGYGGCCCGGGTTAAACCTCAGCACCACATACCAACAAAGATGTTGTGTCCGCCGAGAACTWAAAAATAAATATAAAAAAAATAATAATAAAATAAAATAAATCATTGATGAGATATTTCATGTTCTTTTTGTTGTTGTTGTTAAAAGTTTGAGACAGAGTGTCACTGAGTTGCTGAGGCTGGTCTCCAACTTGCCATCCTCCTGCCTCAGCTTCCGGAGCCTCTGGGATCACAGGCCTGCACCACCAGGTCGCATTCTTCTTTCTTTCTTTGTTTCTGTGTTTCACATTCTTTTGTTGATACTGAGGCCTGGAGCACCGCTCCCTGAGGTCAAGAGCTCCTTAGCCACACGTAAGCTGCTCCGTTGGACAATGGGACAGATTTCTCATGTGTGGCCGGTTTTCTCTGAAGTCCCCCTTCCTCCTCAGGCTGTTGACTTGTTGCAGAAATAGGAACTGGATCTGTACAGTGTCCCAACCCACCTGCTGAGTTTGTCCCCTTGTGCCTTGTGGTCTCATTCAGCTTCCTTCTCTGTGTCCCAAATTTATTATAAAGTGGAAGTCAGCTTCTATTTTATAGTAACAGCTCAGGGGTTGTTTTGGGGGGTGATTTTGGGTGGGGACATTTCATGGAGGTACCCCACAGCTTCCTATAGTGTCACAGGAGTCTCGAGACCCCTGTGTCTGCCAAGGTAGCCGCTGGGTTCAGATGATGACCGCGGGGTTCCTCAGAAAGCTCCCCATCAGCTGGGTCCATGTGCACACCTGCAATCTCAAGTGACTCAGGAGGCTGAGGCAGGAGGATCGCCATTTTGAGGCCAGACTCAGCAATTTAGCAAGAACCTGTCTCAAAATAAAAAATTAACAAAAAGGGCTGGGGATGAAGTTCAGTGGTAAGCACCACTGGGTTCAGTCCCCAGTATGAAAACAACAACAAAAATTTCCCCATCAACTCTCCACCTGGATGCTTTCAACACCCTACAGTTGTTACTGGAATCTTCTGTAGTCAGGGTGGGGTTCCCTCTTGAGCCACATCTGAGACACCTGGAGGGTTTCTTTAGCACCTTGTGGTGGCCCCACCCTCAGAGTGTCTGACTCTGCAGGACTGACGCAGAAGGCGGAGTTGCACCTCTGACCAGCTCCCAGGGGACGGTGATGCCAGTTTGCACAGAGCGCTTTGAGATCTGCAGCCGGAGCGGCTTGTGTCCCCCAGAGGTCTCCAGAGGCTCTCCCAGCCCCTGTCTGCTGGTCCTGGCGTGTACCCCTCACTGCCACTGTCATGTCCTCAACACCAGCCCCTTAAAATGCTCCAACTGAGCAATTTAAGACTCAGAGAGATCATGTCATTTGCCTAAGGACCCACAGCAGGTCAGGGGCCAAGCCACATGGAACCCAGGTCCGGGTGCCCCTGGACCTGAGCCTTTGGCCACCTGCTCTTCTGCCTTCTGGATCAGCAGACGCCTCCTCTGTCCCCCTGTGGCACTCTGGCCAACCCCCTGTCCCCTTGCTGTTTCAGGATGCTCTCCCCCTCCTCCCGCCCCAGATGGTGAGGACGCACTTGGTGACCTGGACCTCCTCCCGCCGCCTCCGCCACCCCCTCCTGCGTGCCTGCCGCCTCCTGATGAGGCGCCCCCGATGGGGACACCCCTCATTTCAGACTTGGAGCAGCTGCACCTGCCCCCACCCCCACCCCCACCCCAGGTACTGAAGCTGGGGTCCCCTGGGTGGGGGGTGGGGGTGCCTGGGTCTTGCAGGCCTTTCCAGAATTATGAGACCGGAGGTGGTGTGGCCCCTTCTGATTGAGGCCAGTGCCTCTTCAAGACTCTTTGAAGTCCCCAAGAGAGTGGTCAGGATTGGTGACCTAAATCCCTTGTAGCATAGAAAACTGCTTTAATCCTCTGCCCTTGGAAGGGACCATGAGACATGGGAGGTGCCCCAGGGCCAGGGCTGAGGCCACTTCAGCCCAGCGTCCTGGGGGAACCTGTTTCTGGGAGATTCCATAGAAATGGAAGTAGCTTTGCCTGGTGGAGGGGGCCCAGGGCAAGGAGTGGGGAGACCCGGCTCCAGTGGCCGGCTCCCTGCTGGTTCCTCCCAGGCCCTCAGTTTCCTCCTTTGAACAGTGGCGTCAAGGGTGGCTGGGACCACCCAGGTAGGAGCAGAGCTGGGCGGGCCCAGGGAGTCCCTGAGGGACCATCTCCTCCCATCTGTGTCCCCACAGGCTCTGGCAGAGGGCCCTTCAGCCCAGCCTCGGCCTGGTCACCTCAGGCCCCCAGATGATGAGCTGCCACCTCCCCCAGAAGAGCCTGTCAGCTTCCCGGAGAGAGAGACCTCCACAGGTATGGCCACAGGCTCACAGGCTGCTCCCCTGGCCCTGGGGCCAGATGGGCTGCAGGCAAGAGCCAGGGGAACAGCAGCCACCTGCCTGCCCGGGCTCACCTTCAGAGTTGAGCATCCATCTAGTTTCTGTTTTCTTCATAATTAAAATTCTTCCAACTATTCATCCACGCCTTTTGCTATGACAGCAAAAGTGCTGATTTTTTTTTTTCTTACTCTTTCTTTTCTTTTCTTTTTGGTTCTAGGGATTGAACCCAGGGGTGCTTTACCACTGAGCTACCTCCCCAGCCCTTTTAATTTTTTTTTTCTTTTTTGAATTTTGAGACAGGGTCTCCCTAAGTTGTTGAGGCTGGCCTTAAACTTGTCATCCTCCTGCCTCAGCCTCCTGAGTGCCTGGGGTCGCAGCTCTGTGCCACCACCCCTGTTGCTGGATTCTTAGGTGGTTTCTTGCTGAGATGAGTCACCTGGCACACAGATAGGTCACTTGCCCATGCACACGTGTTTCTGAGCTACATTCCTAGACGAGGAAGTGCTGTGGCCAAGGGTAGGTAGGATGGTAATTGGGGTATTTTTGCTGAATTGCCCACTTAGTCATCCTGACCTGCCCTCCCCCCATGGTGGCTGCCTCTTACTCCTTGAGCACCGCAAGAAGTGCCTGACACCCAGACCCCTGCCCCGGGCACTGGGGATGGGAGTGCTGGGTGCAGAGCTGGTGCTCCTGGGCCCGCGGGGAGATGGGTCCTGTCTGAGGCAGGAGATGCACCTGTTTTTCTCGGTTCATCATTTGTCTTTTAGGTTTTTTTGCAGTGCTGGGCATGGAACCCAGGGCCTCCCACAGGCTAGGCAAGCACTCTGCTGCTGAGCCACCCCACAGCCCTATTGTTCTTGATCTTAGCTTTGCAAAGGCCACCCACATTCCTTGTGATAGCCTGTGTCTCCTCTATCCCAGACATCTGTGCCTTCTGCCACAAGACTGTGTCCCCCCGAGAGCTGGCCGTGGAGGCCATGAAGAAACAGTACCACGCACAGTGCTTCACCTGCCGCACCTGCCGCCGCCAGCTGGCCGGGCAGAGCTTCTACCAGAAGGATGGGCGGCCCCTCTGTGAATCCTGCTACCAGGTAAGCCCCGAGGCAAGCCTCCAGCTGTCAGGCACCAAGCTGGGTGCTTGGGAGATGTTATATTCATTCCCTACAATACTCCTGGGTAGGCCCATTTCACGGATGAGGAAGCTGAGATTCAAAAAGATGGAGCTCAGCCATGATGAATTAGTTTCCTGGAGCTGCTATAATGTGATGGTCAGCTTTCCATCACTATAACAAAGCACCTGAGATGATCAACTTATAAAGAGAAAAGGTTTATTTTATTTTTTTTTCTTTTTCTTTTTTTTTTTTTTTTTTTTAGAGAGAGAGAGAGAATTTTTAATATTTATTTTTTTTTAGTTCTCGGCGGACACAACATCTTTGTTGGTATGTGGTGCTGAGGATCGAACCCGGGCCGCACGCATGCCAGGCGAGCGCGCTACCGCTTGAGCCACATCCCCAGCCCCGAAAAGGTTTATTTTAGCTCACAGTTTTCCAGCTCATGATCAGTTGCCCCTGCTATTTTGGGTATGTGGTGAGACAGCACATCATGCTGGGAGCATGTGGTGGACTAAACCACTCACCTCATAGCCAGGAACTAAAAGAAGAGGAAAGGGTGCTGGGACTGTGGCTCAGCAGTAGCCCACTTGCCTGGCATGTGTGAGGCACTGGGTTCAATTCTCAGCACCAGTTATAAATAAATAATAATAATTATAAAAGGTCTAACACAACATTTAAATATATATATATATATGAAGGAGCCAGTATTCCATCTTGCAACATAAATAATTCATGCTGATCATGGGGGCACACACCTGTAATCCCAGCAGCTCAGGATGCTGAGGCAGGAGGATTGCAAGTTCAAAGCCAGCCTCAGCCACTCGGTGAGACTCTGTCTCTAAATAAAATACAAAATAGGGCTGGGGATGTGGCTCAGTGGTTGAGTGCCCCTGAGTTCAAAATAATAATAATAATAATAATAATAATAATAATAATAATAATAGTAATAATTGTTATTATTATTATTATTTATAAATATCTCCAGTCACAGTGATATTGTGCACTTAACAATTTAAGAGGACAGATCTCAAGTTAAGTATTCTTAACACAGAGTTTTTAAAAAGGAATGCCTATAATGCTAAAAGGTAGTTAAGTAGAAAAGGGAAAGAATTTCCAGATCCATCGTGTGTAGGATAAAGCATGCTAACTCCCTGGGGATTCCTCTGCCTGGTTCTGAGGTTCAGGAGAAGCATCTCCCCCGAGCTCTGGCAGTCCCTGGCCTTGAACATGGCGCCGTAACAAGACTTCAGTCCTAGCTCCGCAGCAGTGTGCCCGGCTGTAAGCCGAGGAGCCATGTCAGGGCATCGTGGAGGAGTCTGGGTTGTAGCTTCGGGGCTGATCACGGGCCGCTCCTGCACTGCTGGCCTTTTGGTCCCCTGTGGGTGGCTGGTCAGAAGACTCTGAGGTCCATGGATGGGTGGACCCATGGACGGCTCTGAGGCAGGGRCCCTCTGTCCCAGGACACCCTGGAGAAGTGTGGCCAGTGTGGAGAGGTGGTCCGGGACCACATCATCAGGGCCCTGGGCCAGGCCTTCCACCCCACCTGCTTCACCTGTGTGAGCTGCGCCCGGTGCATCGGGGACGAGAGCTTTGCTCTGGACAACCAGAACCAGGTGTACTGCCTCGATGACTTCTACAGGTACGGGAGGGGACCGGACATTGGGTGCTGTGGGGGGGGCAGGGCGGGACTTGGCAGAGCAGAGGAGCCTGCTGAGCGCTGGGACCAGGCAGAGCTCTCTKCAGTCTCTAGGCCAGAGGAGCCTAGTGCTTCCATGGGCCACACACCTGGCCGTGCCCAGTTAATCCTCAAAGTAGTTCTCCCAGGTGGGTATAATCGAGGGGTCCCTTTTATCAAATGCAGAAACTGAGGCRCGCAGCCACTGGGTACCCAGGCTCCTGCTGGTAAGCACCGAAGCTTCAATTCAGAGCCCTGCTCCGGGGCCCTAGTCCCCAGCGCTGTCCCTGGGAGCCGGACCAAGCCATGGGAAGGTGGATATCCGTGAGACTCATTCCCTGCCTGGAGCTGCTTCCTGTCCGAGGGGAGAGGCAGATGTGCTTGTCTGAAAAGGAAGGAAAGAAAAAAAATTAGTGACCTATAATGCAAGAGGGACCTTCCAAGCTAATTACCCCCTGGGAAGCGGGGGTCGCTGTGGTTGGGGCTTYAGGTGCCATCAACACCCAAGGTGTGGAACAGCTCTGGGAGGTGAACTTGAGCCAGCCACRGTTCTGCCAGCAAATGTTGGTGGCTGTCCGCACGAACGCCTCCTGAGTGTGGGTTCCCTCCCCTCTAGGAAATTTGCCCCCGTGTGCAGCATCTGTGAGAACCCCATCATCCCCCAGGATGGGAAGGATGCCTTCAAAATCGAGTGCATGGGAAGAAACTTCCACGAAAACTGCTACCGGTGCGAGGTGAGTGGTGCAGCGGTGACCTGACCGCGCGCTCTCTGCCTGGACCCTCGGAGGCCCACGCCCACCTGCCCTGGCTGGACGCCGGGGGCAGGTCAGGCTGGGGGCGGAGCTCTCTGTTGGGCAGTGGCAGAGACAAAGGAGAATGGCAAGAATTAGAAAGACAGCCGTCCATCAGCATTCCTGGTGTCCAGGACAGACACAAAGTCACACTGCTTCCCGCAAGAAAACAAACCTGTCAGCTCACGGTGGTGACCTCTTTGATGATTAGCATCGGGGCTGTCTCTCTGTCTCTCAGTTCTGCCTTTTCTATGTTTGCCGAGAACGAACCCCACACAGGGCATCCACACAGTCCCAAGAAGGCCCCTGATTGGCCCAGCCTGGGAGGCATGCCCCTCGGAGCCAATCACTGTGCCTGGGTGCCAGGATTGACAGCAGCATTGACAGCCCCTGGCACTGGAAGGCAGAATCCTATGAAGCCGATGGCTTGCTACCACCCTAGGCAGGGAGAGCAGGTGCTGGGCAGAGTAAGGCCACCCGGGTCCTGTGTGGTTGCTGGAGAGAGCACTTATCGGTGGGTTTGGGGAGAAGGCAGTGATGGAGGCTGAGCAGGGTGGTGGGAGGAGAGGCAGCCTCACAGAGCGGTGGTGCCTAAACGGAGGCTGAGCGGAGCTGCCAGGTATTGAGAGATGGAGTCAGGAAACAGCAAGAGGGAAGGGCCTGTGGAACCCGCAGCAGCAGAAAGCCCGAGGAATCGGCCATGGAGGTCCCCAGGTGGGTCTGGAGCGGAGAGGGAGTGGTGAGTGTGGTCCCGGGGTGCAGCTCCTCAATCCAGAGCTTGCCTACCTTGTGGGGCTCTGAGTTCAATCCCCAGTGCCACAAGAGATCAAAAAGAAATGCCCACGGAGTCAGGGCCCCGCGGAGGCTACAAAGTCCTGTGTCACCATCCTGTTATCATTCCTTGTTTTTTTGTTTTGTTTCAAGGAGCCTAGACCCTCTCACTGGTCTGGCTGGAGAAGYACCCAGAATCCCTTCCCACACCTCCTGCTGCCAGCCCCATGTCATTGAAGTTTCTGTCTTCTCCACCACTGGTGACAAAGGGAGCGATTTTTATGGGTGTCACCTCAGTGGAGAGTCCCAGGGCAAATCCCTCAGTCAGTCAATGAGTAATCCTTAGCATTTATTTGCTCATTTATTTAAACAGGTACATGGGGGCTGGGGGCAGTGATGCACACCTGTAACCCCAGCAACTCAGGAGGCTGAGGCAGGAGGATTGCAAGTTTGAGGCTGGTCTCAGAAACTTTTAGCAAGACCCTGTCTCAAAAAAAAAAAAAAAAAAAAAACAGCTGGGGATGCAGCTCAATCAGCGGTAGGAAACCTGCCCAGCTAGCACGGGTGAGTCCTGGGGTCCATTCCCAGCCCAGGAGAAAAACAGAAAAGATACATGGACCCAAGAGCCTGTTTTCACTGAGGGCATCCGAGGACCTGGAGAAAAACTGCCTTGTACTGAGGTTGCCTTTGTTGGTTGTAGTTCAAGGTCCAACTGATAGCGAACCTGTGAGGGCCAATGAGGAAAAGCAGGTGCGGTTATCGCCACCACAGCCCTTATTGGTTCCTGTGTGATTTAGATTAGCAGTAACCCCCTGCTTGTCCTTGGAGACCTTGACCGTGGCTACTGAAGTAAGTCAGCGTTTGGTCTGTAGCAGTTACGTTTCAGAAGGTGAAGCTCCAGACCCAAGCAGCCGGGAATGGAGTGAGGTGTCATTTCTCTAGGAAGGGACCTGGGTTTCCGGGACTGTCCACAGCCCTGCTGGCCTTGGGCTCTGTATTTATGATGGTTGTTGGAAGGGTGACAGTACTGTCACACATGGGTAGGGTTTTATAATTAAATGCCTTCGTACACACCGTCTTATTTAACCCTCAGGACACTCTGGGGAGATGATATTCATTGTCCCCATTTAGGTTTGTCACTTGATGCTCTCACAACACCCAACAGCCGCCTTTGTGAATGACACAGATTCTGGGGTTTAGCAGCCGGTTTCCACTAGAGCCTCCGGGTGGATCCCCTGCCCAGCTGGCCACAGAGCGAGGCAGGTGTGCATCTGGTTCCAGCTGGGTCAGGGTGGCCACCTGCCAGCCCAGAGTTGTCTATCTGGGGACCAGTCCCCTTGACTGGATCCGCGCAGCTTCCAAAGGGAGTTGGCTGTGCCCTAGACCAGGCCTCTGGACGGGGATGGTTCCTGGGGTTACTCTGGCAGGTGCCCAGGTGAGGCCCACCAAAGGTGTGGACTGGGGGCCAAAGGGCGGACTTGGTCAAGTCTGGGCCCCGAATTCCTCCTCTCCTTTTCATTCTGAAATTCTTCTGTGATTTGAGAAATTGGGGATAGTAATGTTTGGGCTGGGGTTCTAGCTCAGAGGTCCAGTCTTTGCCTAGCCTGTGTGAGACCCTGAGCTCAATTCCCAGTGTGGTCCCAGCTCTAGAACCAGCTAATGCGACCTGGGGCGGACCCCACCCCTCAACCTCAGTTTCCCAACCTGCAAAACGAGGAGCTGGACTAGACTCAGGGGCTCGTTCAGCAGACATCACACAGGCCTATGCTGCGATCTGGCCACCAGCAGGGTTCCTGCCTGGCACTACTCAAATTCCAAAGGGGTCACCAGGTTGTCCCTCTCTGAGTGTCCTTGGCTCTCCCTGCAGTGACTCTGCTGTTGTCACTCACAGCCCCTGTGGCTCGAAGCCCCCGCATGTGGTGTCTGGTCTTTGCTAGGCACCGGGCCTGGGCATATGGGGAGCCTGGGGGAAGCCCACCCCCAGTGGGTTTATTCTTCAYATCCCAAGCAAGTCCCTCCCCTGGACAGGCTCCACGCGGCCAGCTCCCAGCCCCAGGGACACCCACGTCTGCCTTTGTCTCCCCAGGACTGCAGCATCCTCCTGTCTGTGGAGCCCACGGACCAAGGCTGCTACCCGCTGAATGACCACCTCTTCTGCAAGCCGTGCCACGTGAAGCGCAGTGCCGCGAGCTGCTGCTGAGGGGCCCTTCCTGGCCTCCTCTCCCAACCTCCCTTCCGAGCCTCGCTGGGACCCACAGGCAGCTCAGCCCAGCCTGTGGGGGATGCCGGGAGCTGAGCCACCTGGGTGCGGGTGCACAGTGTCCCCCAGGCTCTCAACTCCTCCTCCTACCCCCCGAAGGCTCCTTACACCCAGAGTCCCCTCTGGCCCCTGTTGAGTGCTGACCCAGCTGGCACCTGTGTCACCGACACTTCACTATGCAGCAGAGGGTGCTGAGGCCAGCCTGGAGCACGGGGCCAGGCGGGGTGAAGAACAACTCCAATGTCACTTAAAAGTGCTTTTTAAGAATTTCAAGGTTCAGGTGATAGGAAACGATATTCTTCAGATTTGAGGAGATAAATCTTTTTTTTTTTTTTCTTTGAATAACTTGCTTTGGGGTGGGACGAAGTCTTAGGACAAATCCCCCCTTGGTCCATAAATGTACAAGAATGTCACCTGCTGGTGACACAGCCTTGGACTTCCCACCCCAGAATGAGGCTGGGTCGGGGCAAGAGGGGAGAGGTCAGCAGCCCCTCCCTCACCTGCCTTCTGCCTCCTCCTGTGCTGCCGCCAGTCATCAGGACGTGGTTTAAGTGCCTTTTGTGTGCTGGGGGACAGGGACGGGGCTGAGCGTCCTTCCTGCAGCCTTAACTGGGGCTGTGCACATCACACACACACAAATACCCCTCAGGGTGGTTTCGGGGCAGGTGTCCCTCCAACCCCCGGTTGTCACTCCAGCCCTGCAGCCCAGGCTGCCCTGTAACCACTGCCTCCACAAGGCCACATCTAGAAGGTTCTTCCCTATTAAGGAAAATCACTTGTTGCTTCCTAACATCACCAGGCTCCTGTAGAACAGATGATTAACACCAGCTTTTCTCCTTGGGGTCCTCGACCCACCGCACGCTCACCTGTGACCGGCTTTCAGTCTCCTGCATTAAGCTTAGAGCAGCGAGACCCAGCCTCAGCCTTCACAGTCACCTCAATTTTCTCGGTAACCGAGGACCTCGTGTCCTGTTACCTCCGCCAGCTCCATGTCCTGTTTTCTTTCTTTCACTTCCAGTCGGGCCTGGTGCTAAGCAGTGAGTCCTTGCACTGACGTCCACMCAGCGCCAGTGTGTCTTCCCCTCCTACACCTTGCAAATAAATGTGCAGCTSTCAGAAGCTCGCCTGTGATCCGTTCACGACCCGGGGGGTGGGTGCTGGGTTTGGTAGTGGCCCWGGAAAAATGTGTGTGGCATGAGTGCCCAGGAAGTGCCCGCACCTCCTCCCCCAGAACTGGGCTCAGCTGGGTAGACCAGGAAGCCCCATCCCTCCCCGTGCCTGGCACCTCAGTGCCGTCGTGGACAGGTTACAGGGGGCCCCGGGGGAGGGGGGGAGCCTTTGCTGTAGGGAGCCCTTCAGAGCCACCAACCCTGTAGGAGGAGCAGTTTGCATTCTCAGGACTGCACGTGCCCAGGCCCACCTTCCTGCGAGCTCAGTGACCACTGGGTGGCCTGGTGAGCCCGGCTCCAGAGAGCAGGGTGCATGGTGGGAAAGAGCACCAGATCGAGGGGCTGGTGCCCTCCACCTCCCTCTGCTGCTCCAGGGTGTGGGCCTCGACACCCCCATGGGGTCCTCGACACCCCTCTGTCAGCTGGGGGCACGGGTTGCTGAGCAGGAAAGCAGCGTCAGGCTGGTGGGGTTTGCGCCTGGCCCCGAGTCAGGGTCATGCAGCCCACGCTCCTTTGTCAACAGCCCCTTGGGTCCTGCTGGTGCCTGTCATTGGGAACACCGGGAGCACACCTTCTTCATCAACCAAGCTGGGTTTATTAGGCCACACAACATGGGGGACTTCAGGTGTCCTGGTCAGCAGGTGTGAGAAGGGACTCCAGAGCTTGAAGAGACTGGGGGGACTTCAGAAGTGGGGTCTGCGCCTGGTGTGTGCTGTCAGGAGTTGGGGATCCCCCTTGGGTGGGTGGATTCCTTGTGGGGCACCACAGCTGTGGCTGGGAGGGAAGGGCKGAGGCTGCCCTGGGGGTGGGTGTAGGTATTGGTCATGTCCCTGTCGGGGGTGGGCCCAGAGGCACAGGGCCCTGGATATGTCTGCTGAGTGCTGCTGCTGTTGACTTGGACACACGTCCTGAGGTCAGAGGAGCCTTGTCTGAGCTGCTCAGCTGAGAGGACAGGGCCAGTGGCCTGCCCTCAGCGGCGCTGTCTTAGTAGCCAAGTTTGCTTGGGGTTTTCCTAGTGAAATGTAGCCCAGCGGGATTCCTTTGAAACCCTGGGGGTGGTGCCTTGGCTTCCAGGCTACACATTTGTAAATGACTTCATCAGGGGACCYTGCTAGGGAGAGTTCTGCTGTGTGTTTATCTGCATCCCTCCTGTCCCCCCAGTCCTCTTTTCTCCCTCCTTCTGTTGTCCCTAGGAGGGCTTGTGCCATGTCCCAAGCACAGACAGAGCACTTGGGCAAAAATAATTTCCCTTCCCTTTGAATGCAGTTCATGGGCACAGAGGAAATCCACTGCATGCCTGAGTGTGACAATASGTCCTTGTAATCCCAGGGACTCAGCAGGATCACAARTTGGAGGCCAGCCTCAGCAACTTAGCCAGGCCCTGACTCAAAATAAATAATAACAGGGCTAGGAACAAAGCTCAGTGGTAAAATGCCCCTGGGTTCAATTCCCACTGCAAAAATAAAATGATAAAATATCGTTAGAGTCAAGGGGACATTTCTATACCCATGTTTGTGTGAACAAGCCAGCTAGCTCRGTGGAGCATGCCTGTAATCCCAGCTACTTAGGAGGCTGAGGGAGAGGAAGATCGCAAGTTCAAGGCCAGCCTCAGCAAACTAGTGAGACCCTTTCTCAAAATGAAAAGGAATGGGGAGGGGGCAAAGTGGTAAAGTGACCTGGGTTCAATTCCTAGTACCCCAGAAAAAAAAAGTGATAGCAAATTTTGTTATGGGGGAGGGGAGAGGCTGTGCTGGCAGGCAAGAGTTCCAGCAAAATAACAATCTATGAAGTAGGCAATGTTACCATCCCAATGTTTATTGTGGTGCTATTCACAATAGCCAAGATATGGCTTCAGCCTAGATGCCCATCCACAGATGAATGGATAAAGAAAATACAGTATCTAGACACAACAGAGTATTACTCAGCCATGAARAAGAACAAAATCTTGTCATTTGCAGGAAAATGTATGGAATTAGAGGATGTCATGTCAGGTAAAAAAAAAAAAAAAAGATGGAAAGGGGCTGGGGATGTGGCTCAAGAGGTAACCCGCTCACCTGGCATGCGCATGGCGCTGGGTTGGATCCTCAGCACCACATAAAATAAAGATGTTGTGTCCACCAAAAACTGAAAAATAAATATTTTTAAAAATTCTCTCTCTCTCTCTCTCTCTCTCTCTCTCTCTTTAAAAAAAAAGATGGAAAGTAGAAGAGGATCATAAGGGACTGGGAAGGGGTCTGGGGGAGTGGAGAGAGGGCGGAGAAGGTGAGTAGATGTGATCAATGCAGGATCGCGTGATGTGTGCATGTGTGGAAACAACACAGCGAATCCTGTTCATTTGTAAATTAAAATGTGATGATAATTAATATGTGATGATAATAAATAAAATACATGTATG